GTTATTCTCACATTAGGCTCGGACGAACGCCATTTTGAACTGCGAGCGGTTCATTATCGCGGACCAGTGCGGACGAGACAAGACAAGACGAGACGAGACGAGACGGACGAAATGCTTCTCGCAAGTTAGTATCGATGATGAAAATTGGTGGTTTATTTTTTATAGTTGCACAGACAGAATTGAACGAATGCTAATGAAACGGAACTATTGATTGATGAATGCTGGGAACAAAAATCTGAATGACGACAGGAGGGAGGGAGAGAGAGAGAGAGAGAGAGAAAGAGTATAGGAAAAGAAAAAAATATGTACTTTAAGCTTCACGACTGTCGTCACCTAATCGTCCAGATTCGCGTTCGCATCGCTATGTTTTTCTTCGTATGTAAGTACGATGTTATTCGTCAAGAGTGCTATCGCTCAAAAGTCTTTAAAAGACTGCAGTGAATTTTAATTGTTCGCTTATCAAGTTATATATATATATATATATATATAAAATCTCTAAGTAACACGGTTCATCGATTTTCACTATGTGAATGAAACAGTGCGACGGCGAAAATGAGTATAAAATAATGGAGCACTCGTTTACGAATTCCATTACGCGAGGATATCATACATACGGATGTCGAATTTTGCACAAATTTTGCTCATGTATGTACATATACTCTGGTGTGTGTGTGTGTGTGTGTGTGTGTGTGTGCGCGTGCGTGCGCGCGCGTGTACTATATAGGTTCCGTTATTCACTGCAAATAAAAATTTATAGCATGCACGTATACTATAGATTTTCAGTAATGGCAGTGTACATATATCGAAACATAGCCATAATCATAAGCGAAATTTATCGTATTGTGCATTGCATTGTGACAAGTAGTATATCTTTCTCTTTCTTATATTATCGATAAAACAGCAAACTATGATTGTATGTTCAAGTATATTTTCACACTGATAAATTAATACTGATGACATAATGTGCGTTATTTTTCTTTTGTATATTCAACAAATAAAAAATAATTCGGAATATGTGACTGCAGTCTTATATTTTTCGTATGACAATTTTTTTGCCAATAAATAACTGTATCGTTTACGAAATTTGGTTTGAAATTTGGAGTAATAAATCTTGATTAACAATGTTTGTAAGTAGATAAATGTTTATATAAAGAGATTGCAGGTCGATGTGTGTGATTGTAATGCGTGCACGTGCACGCATTATGCGAATGAGAAAAGGACAGAGAAAAAAAAAGTTGGAGAATGTAATTCACTCTCAGGTCCGGTTGTTCTATCTTTTGGTAAATTTTACCTGTTGGGTAAAAGTAGCAAAATTACCTAATCGCATGTGCGGATTGCCGGATTTACCCAACAGGTCAAATTTACCAAAAGATGGGACAACCGACCCTTAACGCTGCAAATATTTCATTGACCAACCAATTAAAAAATGAATTACATTATAAATTGACTTGTCAAGGAATACATTTGCGGTATCAAGTGGATCGCACTCGGACTGTGATTGTGTTTTGCATGTACGCGCGCGCAAGCACGCAACAAAGGCGGCTTTCAATCAATTATAAAAAATAAAAATATGAATTCGTAATCACGTTTGCATATTGAATGTAATAATCTTAATGATTTTATATACAGTGAGAGCAAAAAATATTCGTACAAGGATATCTTTTATAAGTCTTATTTGTAAAAAAATAAACATTAATTAGCAATTTTATATAATAAATATATTCTGTTTTAATATACCAAACGAGCTTCGCATATATTCCTAGTTTTAGAAGCTAAATTTCTCGACTGTACGAATACTTTTTGGGCATCCAAACAATAGAATTTTTAATTTTTGCTTATTTTTCAGACGATATATTTTCTATAATTAATACACATCTTTTTGGTATATATAATTTTAAGAAACACACAGTCTATTTTATTATTTATTAATAAATTGTTAATTACCAACCAAGAAATGATTGTCAATTAAACGTCGAATCGACGTCGAATTGGTTATATATATATATATATATATAAAATTCTGTTTTTAATTCTATGATTGCACTTGCTAAATGTCTTAAAAAAAAAAAAAAAATAAATAAATAAAATAAAAAACCGAAACTACATATCGAAACTGTACGACGTGTCTTGTTGAAAAAAATATATGTTTGTAATGTGTATAAAGGTCCTCATTAGAAAAAAATGTCACACTAATGTTGTCAACATAATAACTTCACATTGTACAAATTCGCCTAAGAACAAATAATATGAAATAAAAATAATCGGGAATAAAATGAGAAATCTAAAATGCACAGATTTTTGGATATCAATATCATAAAACAGATATCATATTAAGAGCGGCAAATTATTCCAGCACAAGTTAAAACAAAAATTGAAAAATGTGAAACCTTTGGTAAAATGACAAATACTGCGGGATATTAATACTTCATACTGTCGCGTTTATCAAACATTATTACAGGATTGATGCAAAATTACAACTGACTTTCTATATACATCATACAATAATACAGTGCGTAGTATCTCCCTGCTTTACTATCTATATATCATTTATATGTACACGTAGCAAAGTATATTACGTATATACATGTGTTTGATGAAGGACGCAACAGTTGAGCTAAAAACACACTCAGCTCCACGCCACATAGTAGTCTTGTCATACCTCGTTGTCTCGTTAGCTAAAACCAATGCATACTTGATTCATACAAAGGCATAGTGCATCGTACTACAGCTGATCCTGTAACATACTTTGGGGTCTTGAAACGTAGCATGACACGCTGTGCCCTCGTATGGAGCAAATGCGCATAAACCCTTCTATGTTAGCGGTGTGGCTATGAGATCATTCTCTCGTGTAGAAAACAGTTTTGGATTATTCGTTTAGCAGGTCGAATAGCCAAACGAGTGTACAAGCCATACAAGTTTCGATGTTTCTCCGACATATTCATATTTTTGTCTAAGATATTACATAGGAATTTTATTAACGCATCGCTCGTCATTTCTCCCCATGCAAACATTTAACCGCCTATCTTTCAAAATTTCTTTAAAAACCAGTTAGAATTTCTTTTTTTTCCTCGAAAAACCAATAAAAAATATGAACCGTATAACCGTGTTAGTCTTATTATATAATGCTTAATAATGGCGTGAAAATAATGTGTTGAATAAATCTATGAATGTGTGTGTGTGTGCGCGTGTATGTGTGCGTGCGTGTGTGCGCGCGCGCGCGCGCGCGCGTATCCTTTCCAAAGATTTCACTACTGCATTTTTTTAATACAATAGCAAGAATTTGTCAAATATAAAACTTAATCATCAACTATTTTTTTACTTATATAGCTATTTCAAGTTGTATACGCGTGAGCGTATCAAAATGTATATACAAATTGGTTTTAAATTTACATACTTCAAAATCTAATTTTACCTTTTTACATATAGTAAAACTAATATTATATATATATGTATCTAGTATAAGATATGAAGAAAATAACAGAAATTTTAAGAATTGACTAATATCAAATGTGTGTGTTACGATAAATTAATATTTTACTTGTACATACGACATTATTCTCACTTATTAAATAGATAGATGCCTTTCTTTCAGATAATATGTACGTATCTTATATATTTAAATAGTTACATGCCTCAGAGAAAATAAGTTTCTTTGATTAAAAAAATAAGTACAAGTCTTAAAATATTGTCAAGAAAAATGAAGTGTAGATTAAACAAAAATAACAGGAATTTATTTATACGGTTTATACCGATCATTATTAAGCAAAGTAATACGCATATTCAAATAAAATGTAACAGAAGATTTATACAAATTATATATACGAACACAAAATATACATAACATCTATTATGAAATACAATAAAATATTAGCTAAGATTCGTAGAAATATTTTTGTTATTTCTATAAATTTATTTTTTCAATTTATTTAAAAATTTCAGTTTACCTTGAAATTGTTATACTGCCTTTTCAAATCGGTCTTTTCCGATGATATCGATAATAGAAAAATTGAACTTGTATTTTCATTATTAAAAATAATTTTACAATCACCCATATTGCATTAACTTAAAAGAATTATATATTTGAAGTAAATCTTATATTTTTCTGCCAAATTAAAATACATGAATTACTTAAAGAAGAACAAACTTTTTACAAAATAAGTGGAAATTATTTTTATTAAAATTTTCATTCACACTTTATGAAATGCATATTGTTTTGTAACAAGCTGTTTTTGATAATAAAAATCAAATATATATGTTTGTTGTGTGTGTATTATTTAATTAGATTTAGTTTTAACTTTTCGCAAAATATAAAAAAATATTTCATTATGTGATATATGTATATATACGTGCATATATCACATATGTCAAATGGTAGATTAGAGAAATAAAGATGGAATATCGTGTGTGCGTGTGCGCGCGCGCGTTCACACACACAGACACACACAGTGAATACTAAATATATGTTTTTTACGAAATATGTAACTGGTTAGAGGAAAGTACACAGTCAATCTAAAAAAAAGGCATATCTAAATTGTTCATTTATAATTATTAATTTACATTCATTATGGCACTGTTAGGATGACTTTATAAAATTTATGCTAGTCCTTTTTTCTGTTTTAAACAATTTTTACCATTATTTTACAACAATTGGTCATCATCATGTTATCTCGCAACTGTATTGATTCTTTACAACACTCGTCATTAAATGAATGTGTAACAATAAACAAAATAAATGTTATACAACACATGAAATTTTCTATATTCAATCCAGTAAGTTAGTTAAAGTTAACGTTATTATATTATACTAGATGTGAAGAAATTCATGTTTTAACATGAAGTCTATTTTTTAACATGATGATAAATAAAGATTAAACAATTGCTTATTTACACAAAATTTATTTTCACCGTCTATTTTAGAAAAATTGACTGCATATTTAAATATTACAAATACAAAATATGTTTTTATTAAATATTAAAGTAATAAATATTGCACAATTTCAATGTTATATAATAAATTAATTTACATTTTTCCTTGGTCTAACATAGAAAAGAAGATATATTAAAAATAGAAAACTTGTTTATAATTTATATATTATTTGTAACAATTATAATTCAGAAGGAAATTGTTTTTTGATCTTGTTTCTCTCATTGCTTCAATTAATTTTATCAGTCTATCATCTTTTTAATATAAAATTAAATAAAAGACAAAACAAAATAAGGATAAAATAATATATACATTAATAGTGTCAACAATTTTTGCAATGTTTTGCATGTCGTCTCAATAACTTATTTGAATTAAAGAAAAACATTTGCATTTGCAGAAAAAAAGATGCGTCGTAATGTGCCAGAAAATTTCATGTAATTTATAATACCATACGGTTAATTTAAAACAAAGTTTAATAAATTTCTCTTATATATTATATATAAATTCCCAATTATTATAAAATGTATTAAGTACGTGGGGACTTATTTGTGCCATTTTGTACATGTATAAAAAAAAATATATATATGTATATTAGTTGCACCATTGGATAAATGTACAGAAGTTTGTTGACCGACACTGATGATACACGGGACTGTAACATGGATATCTTAATGATACGCATAAAGCGTAAATAATTCAGCAAAGTATAATTATTCTGTAGATTATTTCATAAAAATAGTATATATGTATGTGCGTACAGTGTGTGTGTGTGTGTGTGTGTGTGTGTGTGTGTGTGATGCGCGCGCACAAACGCGTTTTCTATGTCAACGAAATCTTGCACAAAGATCACTCCCCCCACAAAGGTGTCTAATTTATTTTACTTGTCCAATAAAGTCTTATACTTTTGGTAGAAGAAAGTTCCATTAAAATCCTTTACTCTTTGGGGCATTCATCGTTGTACGTCAAATAAAAACGACAAAGTACAAGCGTACAACGTTTTAATCACAGTTGTCAATTACGCGAATGAACGTTAAGTTGAATGTTGGCAATGATTATGAAAAGGTATTTGGATCCTATACCTTTTTGCTAATGTCAGTGTTCTTGCGTTTTCTGCCCCTCCCCCCCCTTGCTGCCTGGTCGTTACTCACAGGATGATTGGTCGTCTGCTCATTCTCTGTTAAGGCAGGAGTGTCTTTTGGACTAGTTTGACCAGCTGGTGCCGAAAATCTCTCAACGTATGTTGACCATTTTTCAGAAACTGTAACGCCTTCCCTTTCTCTCTCTCTACAGCCATTATCCACTGTTTCATCGCCTTCTGTATCTAACAACTCCATCGTCATTTTACAGTCCTTTTTATACTGAAATAAAAAATACAGCTTGAAAGCTTGCCACTAAAATCTAATTACATATAGTGTTCAATGAAGCACTTATTATCGACAATTCTAACAAATTAGTTTCATTTACGACGTAGTGTACTTTAATCATGATATACGGGGTGTTCTTGAAATATTTTCTAAACTATTCGCACATTTTTATTTTTATTTATTTCATCGTGTGTTTGTGTAAGAAAAATTGGTAGTCTAGTGAAAAACAATATTTTAGACACCCCGTGGATTCAGAAGAAAGTAAAAGTGCGCCTATGTGATATAATTGGTCATTAATAGTAATTGCTATTATCACTATTACTGTAACTGTAAATAAATCAAATATTTTAAAAAAAGTTACTCACTATATATATCTTGAAACAGTTTTCATCTGCCATTGCTTTTTCTGCCTTGCGTTGATATGATAATTCAGCGCTTAATCTCATGTACGCTGTGGCGCATAGTCCGCCAGCTCCGCTATTTTCTTTAGGTTGACGTTGCTCCCTTTGGAATAAATCCATGCATTGTTGACAAACGGAATCTGAGACTAGATGCTGCAACTGCCAGAAATATATAATTTTGCGTGCCCGCTTTTTCTTGTCATGTCATTAAAAAGGGAACAAAACAAAATTTACTTACTTGCCTAACCGCATAATTAACGACCTTGTCGAGAGTAAAGGCAATGTAGGCATGAATACCGAACATTTCTCGCAATGTGTCTTCGTACGCTGTGCTTTCCATATTTCCGTCGAGGACATTTTTAACCATATCCAGAAAGGCAGGATAATAATCTTCAATTTCAATTTCACCTGTGTCAAATATACCGATGATAAGTGCGATTAATATACAACTCAATGCGCGATAATTGCAAATGCAAATTGACAATTTAAAATATGGCAAATGGATTATTTACTTTTTGGTTTCAATCTTAAAGCGACAGCTGTACTTTCTCTGCGCTGTTGTTTATACTTGGACTCCTCTTCGGCAAGAGCAACCGCCCTATCGTACATTTTTGTTAATCTTTCACATAGTATATGATGTAACCTCAGGAAGAGGTACCAATTATTACTCCCCATAAAAAGCGTATACGCTTCCTCGGGATCACTCGAGAGAGCGTGCATTGGTACTTTTACGTCGGGTTCACTTTTGATAGTAGCGGAAGATGTACTCGGCGACGCGGGAGCCTTACTCCTATTAGCTTGCAAACCACTCAACGACGATGAAGTGTTTGTTGCGGATTGAGAATTATTACACGTTGCCATGTTTACATCCTCCTTCTCATCTATATAACGAAATAAAATCCGAGCATGTATATTCGTCTTCACACGAGATAACAGTTACGAGATAAAAAAAAAAAGAATCTACCGTCTTCGTCCCTTTCGTCATCGCTAAGTTCTTGTCGGGGATGGAAGAAAAGATCAGGTATAAAATGTTTTAATAAAAGCTTTATCCGTTGCTTGTCTTCCTTATGGACAGCGGTTTGCCGTTTAACGTGATGGATCAAGAGATTGGCAGCATCGTCCAATACAGATTTGTCTTTGTACGATAGAACGAGATGTGGACCACTGTTCCCTTGACCGTCACCATTACCGTCGTCACCCTGTTCGTGTCTCTGTACAATGTGCCAAAACACGTTAAATAATTGCAAAACGAGAAAAGGAGAAAAAGGGAAACAAAGAGAAACCGAAGAAAAGCGAGATGCGAATTGAAGTTAAAACACGTATATACCAACCTCGTCGTATAATGTTTCGATTTCATTGAACAAACTTTTAGATCTCAACGCTTTTACATCATTCTGTTTGAAATTAATTCCTTGATGATCTAAAGATTTCAAGTAGTACTTCTCGTTTTGTTCTCTCCAGATTTTATTGAATCCCTTTTGCGCTTCCCGCCATTCCTCCTCCTTAGCCTTTAATCGGCGGAGTACAACGGGCACAGCCACTACAGGATTCCTTTTGAGACCCTCTATGATGTCGGAAGCTTTATCACCGTATATCCTTTTTATTGCTCGTTGATGAATCGTAGGGGAACAACCGCCCATGCACTCGTCGAGTTTATATTTTTGTACCTCCTCTTGAGTCATCCGGTTCATTTTCTTATGAACGCCCTCGAGCACTCTAATTGTCGATGCGTTAGTTTCTATAACGACATCCAATTCAAAACGTTCATCCTCGCATCGATATATAGATTCTTCGTATTGCGTTTTCCTAGGCAAACCAATGCGCACGTATCTCATAATTGAAATAAATATTTCAGCTATTTTTACAACACTATTATCAAATAAATAACATTATGCATATAATAGATAATTTTAAAAGCAAATGATAGGAAAGAGGAAAGAGTAGTGCAAGGAAGAGATGACAAACAAATTGAAAAAGAGTGTTTCTAACATGCGCAGATGCATAAATGAAAGTGATCAATTACCTTGATGTTACAAATGTACTGTCTTCTGACCAAGTTGGAAATGAAACCCAGGTATCGTTGAGGACTTCCTTACACAATTGCGTTCTGCCACTACACTTTGGCTGAATGTACGATTTTGGTAATGCGCAATACGACGCCCCCAGTCGCTTGCACGCTGTATAATCAATTTCTATCGCTAAGTCACCTTGCGGCCGTTCTTGATGGCTACGTACAATGCTGTTTGGGAAAGTTTCTATTCCGATGGCGTTTCCTGCATTTGTCACCGTAGTGCTCGACGAATCGATTAAGTAGCCCAGAAAATCTTTGAACCAACGTAATAATTCGGGGAAACGACCGAGAAATGGTGTCACTAGCTGAATAAGCTCCGATTTCGATATTATTTCTTGATTGAAAAGCACAAGGCATCGAAGAAAATTTTCGTAGACATCTTGCGATCTGAGCGCTTTTCGAACCTAAGGTAACATCATATTTATTTAAGAAAACTTATTTGTTGGAAAGTATGTAATGTAGTTACAATGAAGAAATTATAAATGATAATACACTTAATGCTCACCTTATCAAAGAAAGCATAATCATTTAAGGTACCGTATTTACCAGCTTCCGCGATAGAAATATCGCGCATCGAAGCCACTTTATGCTTTTTCGAGGGTGGTGGCCCATGTTGTATATGATGAGAATTTCCCGCAGTCGCTGAAGTCGAGAATGACGGACTTCTTTTCAATTGTCCTGTACTGTGTCCGCATTTCTGGCCACTACTCATATCTCTTATGTTCGATCTATCCCGTTCCCGTTCTCGTTCTCTATGTTCTCGATTGTCGCGTTCCAATCCAGCCGTACTGCTAGCTTCTCGAAGATCTCTCGATATAGTACCAGAATTATTGTAAGGTGTCTTAAGTCCAATTGGTTTCTTGACAATTGCCGTATGATCGTTAACTGATGTTGTCTTATTAGTCTGAAACATGGCAAGAGACTAATAGGAATCAAAATTGGTTAGTTTATTCGACGAAGAAATAGCTTTCTCACCGACAGAAGAAATGTGAGCAAAAAGGAGAGAGGAAAAAAGAAAAATTATGGTATTCTCTTCTTTTTCGTCTTGTATTTAAATATATAAGGATCAAGAGAATATATGTAATAGCAGATGGTTGTGTATTAAAACGCGATATTACACAACAGACTCGTAATGGAAGAATATGCGATTTATAAACATCATCTTCTCACATTTGCGCTCCCCCTTCTACTTGCACGTATATACGTTTCGCTACCACAGTTTAGAAAAACAAGAAACAATATATTTTCATATGTATGTTTCTTACAAACATGTTTCTTTAAAAGTCTTTCTCTGCCTGTCTGTCTGCTGTGTGTGCGCGCGCGCGCGCGTGTATGTGTGTGTACGACTGTACTGCCTTAGATCAATTTTTTTTTAGTGCAAAATTGCAATTCTTGATTTAAAATTCTATTTCATCGAGACTCTATCGTTTTATTATAATAAGCATCGACTCACCAACGAGTTTTGCTGATTGGTAGCATCCGGTAAAAATTGTCCAAACTCAGCAAGCAGATCTTCTTGATTTTCAAATAATTTAGCAACTTGACTATAAACTTCCGCCTCCGTCAAGTGTTTTGTTCCACCTGTCGCACCAGAACTCGTACCTCCCATATGACCAGATTCTTTTAAATTTCGCTGTTCTTTCTGATACGTATGCAATATTTCCAAAAAGCGTTTGTATTTGTCTGGTTGACCTTGGAACCGATTCTAAAAATAACATAATTTTGTACACTTTACATATGATTACTTTCCATATCTCATGTCACTCTTTCTTTCCTTATTAATAATTTTACCTTTATTTTATTGACATAGTTTATCGCATGGTTAAATTCAACCGGCTGACTTTGTTGAGTTTGTCCACCAGTCGACACACCATCTGCTTGATTTAAAGCCTGACTGACAGCTTGCGCTTGTGCAGTGCTAACGTGCGAATTATTATACACTGATACTGATGGCGGCGGTGAAGGCGCGTGAACAGTTAAGCTATTAGTTGTAATACTGTTTGCCAACGTATGGTGTATATTACCCGACCTGAGGACAATAAATGTAGCTATAGACATTGCATTTTCTTTTTTCATAATAATTTGTAATAATATAGACTATAGATTTAGCGGAATGCTTACCCTGGCATTATTTGCAAAACGGGAGGTGCTTTTGCAGGTTGCGTGGGTGGACTAGCTACTGGAGGTGAACCAACATTCACCGTACAATGATGCTGCGACAATGTGGCAGTATGTGTTGCCGTTGGACTGGGCATACTGACGGATACTTGGAAAGCATATCCTTGCTCGTTTGCTTGTACTTCTATCTTGTAGCCGGGTGGGAGAAACGTATTGAAACCGACGATGAGTTCGGGATGTCCTTTGAAGAGATGACTCACTCGGGTTATAACGCCCGGAGTATCTATACTTTGAGATTTGAATTCTTTCATAATATCTAAAAAGTCATTGTATACCTACAAATAAAAAATTTTGCGTCAATATGATGAGAGATACTAATAAACTAATCAATAAATTAGTCTTTTATACACACACATACGTATATATATATATATATATAATCTTTGCACATATACAACACACACACACACACACACACACACACATTCTTTCACGATTGTACTCTTATTTAATTCATATTTAATATATTTAATTCTTTGTCGCTCACCTGTGGTTGATCACTAAATTTATATTTTACTTGATCCAGATAAGATAAAGCATCTTCTACTTTTAATCTCTGGAATTGTTGAGATCCACTTCCTCCTCCCAGATTAGAGCCGGGTGGAGTGGAAGCCAAAGGTGTTACATTACCAGAATGTACCTATAGTGACGAGAGCTCTTATTTACAAACTTGTGACGATTGTCTAAGCGCATAATAGGCGTTAATGTTCGTATTTTGTATTTTTGTTCGTACGTGCATACATGCGTGTGTACGTGTCTGTGATACATGAAAGAAAAAAAAGTAGATGATGCACACCTTATGCCTTATTGTCGATTGCTGTTGCGCATGGACTTGATTTTGTGATCCTGATGTAGGTTGTTGGGAAGCCATTGTATGACTATTACCACCACCTATTCCACTATGCAAACCACCACCAGTATTTATGCTGCTACTGCTACACGTGGAGCCAAGTCCTCCCGCAGAGCCACTCGCCTGCTGCATATATAACATTTATTAAGTATTATTAAGTATTATTATTCATCTTCATCATCACCATCATCATCATGACATCACATTTGCAGATACATATGAAATCACAACGGGAATTTACCTTGATAGGAGATGGTGCTGCGGTTGGTACAACAATCGCTCCAGTGTATTGTTGTTGAGCTTGGGCAGTGCCAAACTGTATACTTCCTGGCATTTCTTTTGACGCAACAGACCGAACTGCTTGACCAGGTACAACAACACCTATTCCACTGCTAGCGTGGTAATCTAAACTACCTCCTCCACCACCTAAGCCACTTGCTGCACTCACCGATGAGTGCTTTGCTGGTGCTGATGCTATGTCGTCCAGTCCACGAACACGTTTCATTGCAAATCACATTGGAGCTGCTAAAAAGAAAATAATTCCAAAAGAGGTTTATTTCTTCTGTTTTGTAATTTAACTTACAAATCACTATCGAGAGTATTACATTCTCAGTAAATACAGTTCAGGGATAGTTTATTTATAACAAGAATTTACGTGACATATGGTAAATTTTCTATCTTGTGAAATTAGATTACTTCTGAATTTGAAAATGACAAGGTGTAACATAATGTAGAAATTAACAAAAATGATAATGACAAGTAACATAAAAAATATATATGTACAACACACATATACGCGTGCGTGCGTGCGCGTGCACAAAATTAAACAGGCTTGTTCCTTTGCACACAATGCACACAATATATCATTTTATCCTTGTTTAATATTCTGCAAACAACAAGAATAAAATGTCTCACGCATGCAACGGACGCAGTGCATACATATTTGTATATTCATATATATGAATATTACTTGCATTTTGTATATATATATATATATATATATATATATATATAGTATTGTTAATATCACTTATACATCAAAGCTTATCGATTTCAAGACAATCTTGAAAAGTTTAAAGCTAATGATTATGTTTAGAAAAGGTTAATTTAGATTCACATTTATATCTCTTGCAAATCACACTTAATTTCGTGAATTATAAATAAACAAAGAGATATCTCTGGGTATTGAATACTGATTTAAAGTACATTTGTATTCATATAAATATAGGATATATTTATATGAATACAGTATATTACATTAGTAATTTTCAAAACACATACATCAACTATAGCACAACTAGGCACATATAAGGTCTGTTTTCTGTGACTGAACTAGTGTACACTTTTGGAACTTAAAGTAAGATAGATATACGTTTGATATTTGTCTACAGCGCCAAAGAGAGTTCTAAAACAGTAGTCTAGTGCAGGAACAGAAAACAGACCAATAGTCATATAGGCTGTGTTCCAAAATTTACTGTCAGTACTAAAAATCTGTAGTTTACATTGCATGTATGTACTACAAATTTTGAGTACTGGCAGTAATTTTGGAACACAGCCATCGGCATGTACGTCTTGTGTTTAACGTTCAAATATTTTATCAGGGAAAAAATAGTAAAATCATATGGTGAAAGCCTATCGAAATTTTTTATAATAGTTTACAGATTTTCAAATAAATAAATCTATACGCAATTAAAGAATGTTCTGCACGAGTCTCGAAAGGTCTAGGAAAATACAACGTGTGAAACTACGTAAAGTTAGGTTATATGGAAAATCTTGATGTCCTTTAGGATCTCTACTCCATAATTTCATTTTCAACTTCATAATCGCTTGAAACTAATTCGATGAGTAAAATAAAGGTACATACATTTTTTATCATAGCAGTTTGGAATTCGGCAACGTAAACGGTAATATTTTACAATGAAACTTTATCGCATATCAGAGAGACGCGTGAGACACAAGCGCGTTACAAGAATAAGTTATAAACTCGTGCTAGCTACGTGTGTGTGTGTGTGTGTGTGTGTGTGTGTGTGTGTGTGTGTG